CGGATCACTAAGAGTCCGATCTAGTAGTGAGACCCTAAACACCCTGTAGACCCTTCCCTAAAATTAAAAGAAAAAAGAAAGAAAATCGTATCCTGGATTTGTGTGAGCCCTCAGGGTCGCAGGTGTTTTGTAAGAGGGAGGCAGGAGATTTGGCTACAGTGTGACACCAAAGTGCACACGGGAGTCATGTGACTACAAACGAGAGCCACCACAGCCAGACAAGGTGGAAAGGCATGGAATGGATCTACCCTGGGCTTCCAGAAAGAACCCTTTCCACCCAGACCAGGTACTGGTTCCTGAGGATCACTTGCTTTCCAGATGCTAAGAAAACACATCTCCGTTGCGTAAGTCATAAAGTTTGTAGTAATATGTTACGGTAACAGACTACAAGTACAGGGCAGGTAAATGGTTTGCTCTTTAAGCCTAGCAAATGTCCACAACATCGGCACTCATTCTACCCCACGAGCAAACACACAGCCAAAGTGGTTCAAACTGGTCCGACTCCACTTCCCAATCAATCAATTTCTTCAGAATTCATGGCTTTATGTCTTATTACGTTGCTAGACATTTTTCACCTACTATTATATCATCTCATTAGTAGCATTCATCATTCTCCAACTCCTTCAGAAATGGTGGCTGTAATGAGTGTCAACTTTAATATATTAGCTGTTTCTGTCTGGACAACAACAATAAGCATTGTACACTCAATTTTTTTTTATAAATTCCCATTAGCAACTATCACAATTTCTCAGGAAACATACTCTAGAAGTCACTCTAGACAAAGGGGGTGCAGTGCTGAAAATCACTCACGCATGGGATACCCACTGAGATTCACTTCCATTCTACTCACAGCCACACACTAGCACACTACTCACAGCAGCACACTAGCAATGTGGTCTCAAATGCCACATTCGAGAATGTGGGGAATGAGGAGGACTCACAGAGCCTGGGGTGACTGCTGTAACTGAGCTACCCTCTTACAGGTAACCTTGAAGAGCAAGAAATCAATTGCTTTGCCTCTCAGATCTGCCTCAAAAGAGAAAAGCTGGAAATTCTTTCAAGCCAATAAATATCATGTATATAAAGCATTACCTAGACATGTAGTGATAAATACTTCAAAAGGAATTTAAAAAAAATCTCCTTGAGGTTATGCAAATAAGCAGAGGCAATATCTTGGAGCTTTCACTACTAGCCCAATTTGGATTGTACCAGCTGTCAAAGATGCTTGCGTGGATATGCAAATACCTTTGTATTTTTCTGCAAGTCACACAAAAGCACAGAATT